GATGTTGTTAGATTATAACTCCCATTATCCCTGATCACTGGACATGCTGGTTGTGGAACTTTGTACTCAACAACATCTGGGGACCCATTATTGAGAACCACCGCTGAAAAATAGCATACATCCAAAACAGATATAGGAAATACAGTTTGAACTGTCTTGCCAGTTCTAGTTTGGAAGTAACTTGTGCTTTTCAGAACAATCATTTACCCAGTTTGAACAAACCTGGGAGGAAGATTGGAAGAAGGAAGCTTATTATCTCAAGTTTCAAACCATGGTTTAGGGGTGGCAGCTGCACTTGGTATTGCTTATGCAAGTGCAAATGAAATTGGTTTCATTCAAGTTATCCAGTATGCTGAGTGAATACAAAAAAAATTGTCTGCACACTCTAGTATTTGTGCAATTTGAACCTAAATTCCATGTGTAATTTGCACATTATCCTATAAACCAGGGGTGGTCAGACTTGTGCAACAGAAGAGCCACATATGGTAAATGTCAGATGTTTGGAGCCGCAGGCAGATGCCCGTGGGCAGTTATGGCAGGCAGTGAGCAGCGAGCACATGGGTGGCAAGTGGTGGGCAGCAAGCCACAAAATAAATTCAAAGAGCCGCATGCAGCTCACAAGCCACAGTTTGACCACCCCCGCTATAACCCATCCCATTGTAGATTTTTGTTCAGGTTTTTAGCGTGAAAGCTCGTGCCTTACTAAACACATTATAGCACTTGTGGTTTGTACCTTTTTTAAAGATTTCCTCAATGTCTCTTTTCCAAGCTGTTGTGTGGCAGCTGCTCCTCCATTACCAGGGTATGGTTTTTTTTCTGAAATTCAGTGCTTCAGTTGTGACACTCAGATGCACATCTATCCTGCATATCAGTTTCTTCATCTGTGTATATCCTTGGCAGAAAAGACAAATCTGCCCTAATTTAAACATAACAAAGTACACATAGGTAGGAACATGTTAAAAATATAGCATGCCTAATACATGTTTGAGTTCTATCAGATAGTGATTTTATATTCATCTTTGCCCCTGAAATAAAGGCTTTTATTTATTGGTAGGGAATCTGGAAGGGTCTGTGATAATACAAAACTTTTTAATGTGCATTATAATATTTACTCTGAGTAGGTAGCATTCCTTACAGCAGAAGTGTCCAGCCCCTGTATCAAACATCTGCCAAGCTGGAAAGAGCTCTTTCATTCACAGATTGTATGGGTCCCATTCAACAGATGGTTTGTACACTTTTTATTTCTTAATATTACATTGCATTTCTATAGAATCATAGAATAGCAGAGTTGGAAGTGGGCATGAAGGCCATCGAGTCCAACCTGCTGCTGTTGCAGGACACCAAGTTACACCATCCCTGGCTGTCCAGTTTCTTTTTGAATCTCCAGATCAGATGCAAAACATAATGCCCTCTATCCTGTTGAGTTCTGCAGTTCTCCATACTGTATAATAAATTTCTAGGTCAAAGTCAAGAATGAGAACTATGAAAGCATTAAATTGTTAACTTGAGGGAAGAGTCATGCCTGAAAAACCATTAAAACTCTTAACTCTTAATGCCATGTGGTAAACATTATGACATATATGAACCATGGCCTTTGACAGAGAGCTGTTGATCCCATGCTTTGGTGATCAGAGGATATTCTAAGGTTTGTACTGAAAAAGTGCAGACTGGGTGGTATCTTCATTTTACAGTGCTTAAATGTTACCCAAAAGTTGATGTCCATGTCAGTAGTAGGTGCATGCAGTATTAGAGTTGTATTTTTCTGTTCACGAGGCACAATGAAGCATAGATTCATTTTAAACATAAAATTATTAAATACTTTGTGATTATCTTATTTTTACTTCAAGGACAGGGGTTGACCACATGAATGCCTCTCCCCTTGGTCTTGAACATGGCCACCTGCACCAGCATGTTGCCAAACTGTAGTAGTGATCATCAGAAAGCAACAAAAAACCCCTGGCAGTTTGCTGTCAAAATTTGGTGACAAGCCACTACAAAAATTCAAGGGATTTAGCTCACGTTCAAGTGAACTATGGTCCTCTTCAGCCTCTGTAGTGGTAAGCCTTGGAACTGCAACAGCAAATGGCTGATATTTTTTTCCACCAGTGTGCTGTTGAATTCTGGTAGTATAGCAGCAGCATGAATGTGGCCCACATGAGAGTTTGGGGTTAGAAATTGGTCCCAGACTTCCTGAACTTGCCCACGGCTGTTCTTGGAAGAAATTCATTGCTAGCTATAATACTTTTATAGTTAGCCATCTTAAAGTTGTTTTACAAATGTATAAAAACATTTTGTAGAATTAAAATTCTTTTTTCAATTTTGTAATTAATGATTATTTGTTGAGGACCCAAACAACTAAAAAGCTTTACAAAAACATGTGAAAATACACTTTGCCAAAATAGGCGTGCATTTTAATCTAACACGTTTTCCATCCAAGTGTGAATGATCTCTTACCAAATAAATTAAGCAAAAGTCAGTGCTAAGATTGAAGCGTTTTCTGTTTGGGTACTGGGACTGCTTAAAAGTGTTCAAATGGTTTCTGAATTTCTCCCTTGACACAAGTGCTGCTAAATTTGTGAAGCTAAGTCAGCTGGACCCAAGCACGTCATTTTTTTTTCATTTACACATAAATGCTCAAGTTTTTGGTATTAGGTGCTAATACCTACCATATTCATTATCCTCCATGTCTTCTCTGTTTCAGTTCCAGTTTACTCAAAACTTTGCTTCTTCCTCTAAATAAGGCTCTAAAGCTCCTGGATTCAATTCTTGTTTGCTTAAATGAGCTGGAATATGAAATCCATTGGCTGAAGAGAAAATGGGTTGCTTGTTAATGTTCCAAGATTTGTGCGCCAAACGGTACCCACTTGAAAAGTGTGGGCTCTTGCACTTGGCTGCCTGACATGTCCAGCTGATGGGGACTGGCTCAGCATCTGCTGCATTCATTGTATCTAATGGTGCATCCATCTGTTTGCTGTCAAAGCCATTGCCAGCAAATTACTAATCTATTAGAGGAACATGGAAATAAGTTTGTACTTCTCAGTCCTGGCTTTCTGTTTCATTTGTTGCTAGTATTTATTTATTCAGGTGCTGAGGAAAGATCTGCATTTTTCTTCTGAAAGGCTATCATGTCTCTGTCATTGTAGCCTAGTTTTAACAGAACAACTTTTATACAGAGGATTCCCCTGCATTTGTGGGCAAAATTTAGTCCACTGTTGTCCTATGCTTGTCCTTAAAAGGGAAAATGAGCACAAGTGTTTCTTAAGGATAATACTAGAAGTCCGCAATACACTATATACCTTTATTCTGTTAGTATTTGTCAGTTGCAGAGTAATAGTACAGTGGAAGATGAGTAGTTGTTTCAGAGAGAGAATCCTGGGACATCTTTTTATACACTTGCTCATGGCTTGCAGCACCCTTATTCAAGATGGGGCTTCATTGCCCTGCCGTTGAGACAAACAGCCCCAAAGCCTTAAAATGCTTGAGAGATCAAAAGAAAACATGTTTAGTATCTGCTGTCAGTCATTTTCTCTTTTAATAGTAATATAGTTTAATATCTAGAAGAAATTACTCTTTTTATATGAAGAAACCAGGAACACCTTCTCATACTATGTTTGAAAGGCAGTCTTACAATTTCAAGAATTGTAAGAATATCTAATGCTGTTTTGAATTTCACTGCGTTTGTACAAAGAGCCCTAATACAACGTATGTGGCTCAAACCTAGGACAAGGATTAAAATTATATTTATTACATCAGGCTGGTTGCAATGTGGTTGAAAAAAAATATGTAAATCAGGAATAGATCATGTAAGGCTTGTGAGTTTAGTCTGCAATGTTTTTCCCCTGGTCCACAGACCTACTCACTGTTGCTGTATGGTTATTTGGCGGGAGTGGGGAAACCTCTTCCAGAGAAAAGTCAGGTCAGATACAGCAAGCATAAGGATTTTCCTGTTATATGTAGAATATGAATGGAAATACTTGCTTTTTTCATCATGCACTGTTGTATAAGAATAAAGCTTGATACTTATAGATACTTTTATGTGTACACCAAACAGTAATGCAATAGAATATTGTATTGGATTTTAATTATGGCAGTAGAATTTTCTATTGAAGAGTGTTGGATGGGAGTAAAATATCAGCAATAAAGATTGTTAGGACATTATTTACCCTTTACAATGGAATGGTTTAGCAGTTATGGATGTGCTGGAGCATCAGTGAGTTAAGTGTAGAATAGGAAGATATTATACATAACAAAAATCTAAATCCAGAGAAATGGGTGACCAATCTAACCATGACATGACAATCCATATGTCCTTGGTTTACAAGAGAAGTGTAAGGACAATCCATATGTCCTTCAGAAGTGCAGAAGAGAGTTTGTAATGCAAGACTATATTAAAAGTGTATGGAGCAAGAGGAAATCTAGTCAGAAGATAACATTACTTACATAGGAATCAGTTATGCCAAATCATTATCTTAACACACAAGGGACATGGTGAATAGAATATAACTCTTCTATTCTCAATTTTTTACCAGAAGAATGTGGGATGAAGGTGCATGGATGGCAAATTTATATTTTAGCAAGGAGCATCCCTACTGGAATATTTTATTCAAAGAATAACAACAACAAGGAAGACTTTCTAGGACAAGCTCTCATGTACTGTACATATCCTATGTGGATCTTTGTAAATTCTTCACTCCTTTCATCCCAAGGCTTCTGCTTTTCCTGTTCTTTCAGCTAAGGCAGCTGTCATCTTCCCTTGCCCCCCCGCCCCATGTTGTGCTTTTGTCCATCCTGCACCATCAACCTTTCTAGAAGGCAACAACAGCACCACTTTCAGCCAGATCTGAAGAAAACCAATGTCCAATGAATATTGGGTAGTACATAATAGTCTCCCACTGTGTATCTTGCACTGCTTGAGTTGTTTATTTGCACGAGATTTTTCCATCAGATTATTCCACTGAATCAAAAGTTGTAATATTATTTTCTTCTATTGTTTTGTTTAGGAAACTACTCCAGACAGCCAACATACTCTGGAGTGACCAACACAAGTTACAGTGGCCCAGGACCTGGTATGGGTATAAATGCAAGCAACCAGATGCATGGACAGGGGCCAGGCCAGCCTTGCGGTACCATACCCCTGGGACGAATGCCATCTGCTGGGATGCAAAGCAGACCGTTTCCTGGAAACATGAGCAGTATGACCCCCAGTTCTCCCGGCATGTCTCAGCAGGGAGGCCCAGGGATGGGACCACCCATGCCAACTGTGAACCGTAAGGCACAGGAGGCAGCTGCAGCAGTGATGCAAGCTGCTGCAAACTCCGCTCAGAGCAGGTATGAATGCAAGGGAAAGGGTCAGAAAACATTCAGAATGTATATACTTACTAAGTAAAGTGGTTTGTACACAGAAGATAATGGTGTAAGTGTTTAAAAGAAGCCAAAACAACAGTGGCAGGTGTTGACTATTTTAAAACATGTTTCCTACCTATACATACAAATACTTAGAAAAGGAAATCTCACTGTTTTAAGATAACATAAAAAGGAAAGTATGTGCAATTAACCCCTTCAGTTTTGAAGAGATAAATTTAAAAATGCACAGGTGGTCACATAATTTTTTTGGTAAAAGAGGCTGGGAAGAAGCATCTTTACTGGAGTCATAGTTGTCCCCTGGGTTTTTGATGTTTCTAGAATGTTACCAGAATCCATTGGCTAATGGATGTTAAGAACAAACTTTTCGAGATAAACCAGAATATTTATTTATTATGTTTGCATACTGCTTAAATGATTTTTAAAATCCCTAAGCAGTATCTGCCATCCTCTTCCTCATGTCTTGAAGGAACTACATAAATTGATTCAGCAGGGTTTCTGTCTGTAAGCTACTTACTCTGGAATAGTATTTCCAAAACCTTTAAGCGAGAATATGTGGTGAGTGGATTGCAGTTTGTCCTGCGGGTCTACAGAGCTTTGGAAATGCAAATTACTTATTCCATGTACTGCCCTTTTCTTTGGAATCATGGTCTGTTTGTAAGCTTCACTGTGTTGAAATAAATGGGCATTTCACTACATATTACCATAGGATTTTTGATGCTAGAAAGGCAGAAAATTCCATCCCTACCAGGAAGGAAAAGATTATATTAGAGTCTTTAAACTTTATTTTAATACTTTAGGAATACACACATTGTGCTGCAAAGTGTTAGGGGAAAATCAAATGCTTGTTTGTTTGTGTGCCTTTTTAATAGGATAAAGCCACACACTATCTTTCAGAAAAACAACCTAGGCAACTGTGAAAGTAAACCTAAAGGCTTTGTGTATTTTCTTTTTTTTTTTTTTTTTTTTTTGAGCAGTCAGTATTTTACCAAGGAAAAGTTGGTGTTCAGAGGGTTTTTATTATTTAAACAGTTAATAATCAGTAAAATTGAGTGCATGGTTGCAATTTACACTATAGATTTGGATAAAGTACTTCCTATTTCACTTGAAACCTGCTTTTCAAATCCACTTTATAGAATTACTTTTCAATTTCTAGCTTTCCATAATCAAAATACAACCTTTCTAAACCTTTTCATGACATAGTACCCCTCTGGTACTCTAACACTTGTAGGATAACAGTGCAGTTATTAGGACCTCCATTAAAAAAGAAGCATTTTTAAGCATCAAATTGGATGCTTCCCTGTTTATTTCAGAGGTTTGGAAACACAGCATTTTTCTCCTTGGTTCCTGAGTAGAACAGAAAGCTTTACGGATATTTGCCTAACAGTAAGAATCCTACATGCTTCTTTCTGTATGGAAGGATTATAGCTGACAAGGTGGTTCATGCTTGTGGTCCAAAACAAATCCAAAGAAGCTGTTCTTTTGTTCTGCTTTAGGCCACCATATATTAGGTCGCCTGCTTATCCCAGCCAGTCTGGGGCTGGCGGACGCCCCATGTTTTCTTCACAGCATCCCAACTATGGCAACGCTCAGGCTCCCATGATTCATCAGCCTGACCAGTACGGGTAGGTAGCCAAGTAAACTGGACTTGCTGTGGGATCTTGACAGAATTTTTTTCCTAAATGTTATATGTCATTTGACTACTGAAGGCACTCCAGATCAAGTCTAATACTTGCATCTGAAAAGCAATGCTCTTTTTGTTGTTTACTAACTGTGTCAAATAATGATTTCAAAAATCTGCATGTCACCTGTACTGCATGGCTTGTGGCATGGCTTTGTTTCCTTCATGCCTGAGAGGGAAATGAGGATATCCATTGGCTGAACATGAATTAATTCTTGTATTTTTATGCATCACTACTTGTCCCTTCCTCCATTTTTGTCATCATTCTGTCATTGATGTCTAGGAATATTACCATGAGACGATGTTTCCATGGCTGTACTGTTGTTAGTAATCACTTTAATAAAACATTCCATTTTTGAGAAGAAAATGATTATAAAAGTCACAGCAAGAGTTAACAATCGACTTACAAAAGTTGGTATGATAGAACAACTAAGACAGTTTCTATGAGGTCTGTGGAAGAGGGGGAAGAGATCACAAACTGTTATTCCTCTGCCAAGGGATATAAAACTTTACCCAATATGAAATTTCTTAAAGACAGAGAACTATTTTCCAATTGATTCTTTTCATTGTGCAATTTCCCAACGTCAGTGTTAAAGAATTCAGTTTTATTTCAAGGTCTATGATGGCCTCGGCATGTTACTTCCATTATTTGCCAACTGGAAATCCCAAGAGCTACAATATTCATCTAAAGATACAGAGAAACCAGTGAATCCTGGTTTTGTTAACCATGAGCAGGTCTCTCCCCCTTTGCCCTTTCCAGCAGATTAAGGATCCCAACTACAGTCCTTTATTGAGTTAGACTGTCCAGTCAGGTCTGGCTTCCTAATACAGAGTGAGCAGTATAAAAGTAATTAACAAGAAGTCTTCATCAAGTTAATGATTCCTCTAATTGTGTGGTTAGTTCTTGCCCATACCAGAAGGTGATTCCAGACTGAATCCCCATCTTCCTTTTCCTTCCAAACAACGTTGCCTCCACCCTAAGGAAGGTTCCTGCTGCTTGTGGGCCAGGTGGCAGGAATGCCAGATGATATTTAATTGCTCCACTTCCTTGACTTGACACTGAACCATTGGGCTAATAAATTCACACTCCTCTTCCTTTGTCCTTCCCTTTTCTACAGTGACTTTTCCTGAACCAAAAGCAATCTGGTTTTCATCAGCCTCTTGGCTTAACTTGCAACTCATTAACCTTGACATTTCTGCCATAGAATGCAACCCCTTCTCTTCGTCTCATTCTGATTCAGAGTCCACAATCCCTACCTTGGAATGCTGGTATTTCAGGAGAAGTGGGACTAATTCCTACAACATAAATTATTCAAAAATTATATATCAGCTGAGAAAACTGATATTAAGAATTTCAACACTATGGATGTTGGTAGTTCTTTTTACATAGGATTTCTGTTCATTAAGGAAACATTTTGGTCAACCTTTCCAGATTTTTCTGCAAACATGATAGAAAAAACAAACTAGAAAGGTATGAATATTGTACATGATATCTTCCTAGCACATCATTAGTTTTGCAACAGAAAGTTGTGGTTGCACATAAAACTATGAAAATATATCTTTTTGCTTTTGGATTAAAATAAAATAGAGTATACTTGACCAAGTTCCATTGGAATAAGCCAGTTTTTTGGTTAGGATAGCTTGTTTTGCAAGTTGTTTTTAATGTCTTCGAAGTGTAAGAGTAAAGTGTAAAATAAGATACCAGTATAGAAATCACAAATTTGTCTTTTGCTAATCCAGAAGAGCTGCTGTTTGAAAGCTAGGATCTATTTGGACACAGAAAGCTACTCTGGCTTTACCTTGCCAAGTCATAGTCATAGAATCATAGAATGGTAGAGTTGGAAGGGGTCATGAAGGCCATTGTGTCCAACTCCCTGCTGTTGCAGGAGACCAAGTTACACTATCCCACTCAGACGGCTGTCCAATTTCTTTTTGAATGTCTCTAGTGTGGAGAGAGCCCACCACCTCTCTAGGCAGCTGGTTCCACTTGTCGCATTGCTCTGATAGTGAGGAAACTTTTCCTGATATTTAGCCTGAATCTGGGTTGTCACAGCTTGACTAGATTATTCCATGTCCTTCTTCTTTGTGACAGCCTTTGAGGTACTTATAGAGGGATATCATGTCCCCCCTCAGTCTTCTCTTCTTAGGGCTGAACATGGCCAGTTCTCTCAGTCTCTCCTCATATGGTAGTGTTTCCAAACCCTGGATCATTTTTTTGCCCTCCTCTGGACCCTTTCTATTAAATCATATTAAGCAACTGTGTAAAATGGATTTAAATAGCATGTATCAGAGAAAACTCACTTCTACTGAGGGCAGAAAATCAATGCCTGCTAACCAGAACTTGGATGATCAAGATTTGAGATTTAATCAGGTATATTATCTTATGTCCTATTGCAGGATGCAACCTTTCTTATTAAAAAGAAGGGTTAAGGTATTTAAAAAAAAAAAACATACTTCAGTCATATCTACAGGACAAATGTTAACGTTTCATTCATTCGGATAGAAGTCGTATTTTGCTAAAAAAAACTGAAACTTCTGATTTATCAGTCCCTATTTTGTACTTGCAAGTGAAAACCCAATGCTTTACAAAGATTGCTGTAGCACTTAAGAGTTGCAAAGCACCAGTCTAAATTTCAGGACTGTAGGTTGCAATGAAAGTTTTCTGTAGTCATTCAGTTTCAGTAATATATAAGATCAAGGCAAGCCCTGCACAATACTTGCTGTTAATATTAGTCTGTGCAATTCTTCAGTTATTTAATTGGGAATGGGGGATGCTTTGTATGGTAGCTATTTTTTGGTTTTAATAGTCTAAGTGGTATATTTTGTTATGCAATATGTTATATGTTAACTGCAGGCAGGGCAGTAAGAAGAATGGTTCTTTTTAGTATGGTTTGGACATAATGTCAGAAAACAATCCCATTCTTGGGGAACAGCAAATAACCTTGAAAAGGCAGCATGCTGTAAAGTATAAAATCAGTTTCTGTTTTTTCTTGGCCAAGACTTTCAGAAGCTGTATATTATGGATAAAGAGAGTATGCGCAGATGTGACAAATCTTTGCAATTACCATGGAAGGATACAGTGAGTGCACTATAAAAATGAAGGATGGCAACAACAAGTGAGCTTTAGACTTCCTCAACTGTTTGGATATGAACAAGTAATAAAGGGAACAAATAAACTTGGGATTAAATTTTTAAAGGGTTTCCAATTTTGAATGTCTCTTGATGGGTGCTCAAGTTGAGACACTCTGGCTTTGATAGATATTGCTGAGTACGTACATTGTAGCTTGTAGCACTTCTAAATGAATTGTATTTGGTGGTAGTATGGATTTAATACAGGTATGTAAGCAGCAGGGGATACCCCCTTTTCCCTCCCTTTTCTCATGGGACTGTTGGCCAAAAATGAAAGGGTATATAATGTGCTACCACAGATTGGCACTGTCCCTTGGCAAATAAACAAAAAGTCAGGCGTACAGCTTTAGCTTTGTGTATGTTTAGCTTGGGGCTTTGTCCTTTTTTCTTTTTCTTCTTTTTAACAGCTGAAAAGAAAAGAGATGAGAAGACTTAAAGCAGTAAACAGTTCTGTATATTGTTACTTCTTTCATTTTGTGTTTATGAATACTAGATTTAAGAGTAAATTCACGTATTCAGATACTGTGCCAGGATCTAGATCAGGGTGGTCCAATCTTTCATACTATGAAGGCTGCATGAGGACTTCAACATGGAACCCAGAGGATGCACAAAGAATTACATTTCCATATTGTAAATTAAAGTGTTCACAATATATTTATTTAATTAACAAGGCCTTCGGGGCTGCATGCAGCCCATGGGCCACATGTTGGACCACCCTGATCTAGATTATTGTTATATATGTGGTGATATACATGAACATGTATAAAGGTACATGTTCAAAGTTGTCATTTTAGTTAGTTTCTAGTGACACACTTAGAGGGCAGTCCAATAAGGGTGCCCATAACCCTCTCATCTCAGAGGATTACAGGCATCCTATGCTGGGCAAGAGGAGTGTGGAGACAAAGTATGCCTTTGTTCTCTTACCACCCTGCAAAACAGCTAGACAGTTTCAGCTGTCTAACTGCAGCAGTTTGAACAAGGAGAGAAGGAGGCTGAAGTGCTGCCAGGATGCCTTGTACTTTGGCAGCAACAGTTTCTTTGCTTCGTCACCCACTAAAGCCCTTCTCCACGTTTGCAAAGTTTACCAATGGGGTTTTTTTGTGTGCCTGTTGCACAGGAGAGATAGGTGAGCCACACAGAGATCCCTAGCTCTGAGCCTGTGGCAATCTTCTGGCCCTGTGGCCATGTAAAGGCTGTCTAGGGGCTGTAAAAATGCTCTGCTTCTGATTTCCTTCCAACAAAAAGAAGCTATATAGGTTGTTGTAGTATCACTAAGTGTATCGACTGAAACTCCTTTGAACACTTACCAGTGACATGCTGGTACTATCCTTGGATATTGTTTAAAGAATTTGTATAATGTAAGAAAAATCAACATATTTATTATATTTTAATACACCCAACAATCAGCATTCATGGAGCAGATTGCACAGAGTTAATCGATTAAAATGACATACAGACAGTTTAAATATAAAGTACAATACAAATATTTAAAAGACTACCATACAATCAGCAAATGCACTCAAAACATTTTATTTGTTACCTTTTGAGGTGTTTTATAATAAATGCTGCATGTGAAAGTTCAAAAGAACTGGCAAGTGTATACGTGTGCGTGTATGCATACAGTTATTCATCATCTGACCACATAAAATGCTTATGTATTTATACAATTATAATATGGAGACTTGCTTTCACTGCTTTTTAGCAAGAATTTGCTGGTTACATGTCAAAAAGGCTTTCTATGGGTACAGTCAATGACAGTTTCACAGAAAGCCATTTTTGCAGACTGCATGGCCTACATTGGATCCTCTTCATTGT